CAAAGACAGAAGCTAGACAGTCCCAAAAGATGCACTTTTACAGTTATAAACATGGCCAAACAGCAAACATAGATAAGGGAAACATAGCATGCAAGAATAGGGGCCAAAAGAGAGGTAATGAAGCAAGTGGTATAAGCAAGACCCAAACTGAAAAATTTCCTTCTACAACACTGAAGATGGACCAAAAATATGAACATTTACAGTATATAGCAGCCTCAAAATCAGTATACAAATATGCTAAAAATGTGATGCAAAACAAAGCTCAAAAGGTGCTAAAACATGAGGTATACCAAATAATCACCAAACAGCCAAGGACTCTCAATCAAACATGAAGTATGGACCAAAATAAGACTATCTCTAAGCCTGTAAAATGGCTGAAAATAAAAGCATGGTAGGATAACTAAACATGCAAGAAAACGAACCAAAAGGGAGATAAAACATGAAGTGACCTATGGAAGCCCCAAAACATGAAAGACCCTAAACAAAACATGAAGAATGGACCAAAATAAGGACTTTTTCAGAATTGTAAAATGGCCAAAAACCTAAGCATGGTAGGTTGCCATTGCATGCAAGAATGGGGAATAAAAGAGAGATAAGGGGTAGGTATAACATGGAAGTCCCAAATGGTGTTGAGCCCTTCTTCAATGTTGAAGAGGGGCTCAAAATAAGCCTTTTTATAGAGCGAAACATGCTCGAAAATAAATTTCTCATGGGTCAAAAATAGCATGCAAAACTATGACATACAAGATGATCAATGAAGCAAGTGTATGATGGAGGGCTCAAACAGGGTTGAGCCCTTAATGAAAAGTGACAATGAGCTCAAAAGAGGGCCCTTTTCAGTTAGGGCCGAAGCTCAACACAAAAAGCATGCATGGCTTACATATTGATTAAGAAAAAGGGTCAAAAGGGTAAAAGTATTACTTACCCTTGAAGACTCAAACTTTTGTTGCTTCTTGGATGGATTTGCAGCTTCTTTAGCCTTCAAGAATCCCTCCTTGCTGCTGGAAATGAGATGGTGGTGGTAGAGCTTGGTGGTGTAGAAGGAATGAAGGTTATGGACTTAGGGTTTTTTGAAGAATTGAAGAAGAAGACAATGGAGTTTAGGGTTTGTGCTTGGAGAGGAAATTTTCTAACCCTAAAGAAGAAGACCCGCCCTCAGCTGGTTATAAGGGCAAGAAAGGGGTGTAAAAGGGGGGTGAATTGGAGAGCATAACTCTCTCCCAAAATATCCCCCGGATATAGAAAATATCTGGGAGATATTGCCCCACAGCTGGAAGGGTACACGTGCAAGGAAGCTGGCCGGCCTCTCACATTTTGTGTGAGGTGGGCCGCCCGGCACACAGCCCCCAGTCGCCGGCTAGGGGTCAAAAGGGGTCAACAAGCTTTTCTGCGCGGCCAGGTATTGGGGAGGTACCTCTATGTGTGTACAACAGCAACCATGTGGTTAAAATTTCCAAGAAAGTTGGTCCAAGGGGTTCAACATTGGCTCGGAAAGAGGGGGTCAAAAGGGTCAATTTTGAATTACATGGTCGGGTGTCCTTAGAACTTTGTAGGGGCCTCCCATGTGTGTACATCCAGATATGTGGTTCAAAAGTTCGAGAAAAAAGGTCCAAGGGGTTCAACATTAGCCCGGAAGAAAGGGATCAAAAGGGTCAGGTGACCTTAATGGCGCCACCAACTTTTAGGGGCCTCTCAGATGTGTAGATCACAAGATATGTGGTTGAAAAGTTGGCAACACTACCTCTAAGGTTTCAACATTAGCCCGGAAGTCGGAAAAACGGCGCCGGGAGGCTCCGAGGAGAGATAACTGGTTGCTGCAACATTACTGGCCTCCCCCTTCAGTGACTTCTTCTGATAAAACAGAGTACCTGCCAAAAATGAACGAAAAACCGTTGCAAAACGAACGTTCCGGGGCCAAAACACGCGGTTCGGGGTCCCGAAAATGGGCTGTTAAGCACCGAAAAATGGCAATCCCACGAAGTGGGTTTCTCAGCCCCAGTGTCCCTCAAAAGGGAGAAATAGGAAGTATGCCAAAAACCAGAGCAAACGGAGATGGTTAAGCGGTCGAACCGAGGCACACGGCCTGACGGCTCCGGAACCGGAACCGGACTCCGAAATGGGAAAAATGGCCTACGGCCACCAAATGTAGCCTACGGACATTGAGAGATGGTCTACGGGACCTTCTCCCTCCCCTCAGGAAAAAAACAGAGAAAACGAGTCTGGTTCGCAAACCGAGCAAGGCACAGAAAAGGGTTCGGAAGTCGGAGGCAGGGCTACGGCCGACTCCCTGAAACTTCTGAACGAGCACATTAATGCAACATCACCAGAGCGCTCAATCGGTGACGTCTGAGTCTTAAAGGTCGGTCAAAAATGGGGTGTCTACATAAGCCATCGCATGCTTTTGTGAGTGTGGCTGAGGCTCTCCTCATGTTGGATAAGCCCATATAAATAGTTTCTTGTCAATTTGCCATTTCGTATGTCATTTTCTCGGTTTGCGTGCCCGTGTGCTACACATTTCGAGACATGTAATTCCATAGCAGTGTAATATGTTAGAGGATTGTAATCTTAGTTGCCATTTCATGCATGTCCATGCATATTGCGTCGTGTTCGGAATAGGAGTAAAAAAAAAAAAAAAAAAAAAAAAAAAAAAAAAAAAAAAAAAAAAAAAAAAAAAAAAAAAAAAAAAAAAAAATTAGCCAGGGCAGGCAACGCGTTTCAGAATAACTGAGCTAAACAAGGATAATTGGGGCATTCCGTGGATTTCCGCGCAAGACCAACCCGGACATGGCATCATCCATCAGAAGCAAGCAGTCCCTGGCTTGCACGCCAGTTTTTATCGCTTTTCTTAATTTAATTTTAAATTATAGGAATTTGTAATATTTGGACTGTAATTTCTATTCGGACTGTAATATCATTGGGACTGTATATTTATTGGACCCCTCGCGAGTGGGACAAACTGTAATAAGTGTGGTGAGTGTGATGTATGTCTTCCAACCCCACGTCTTTCTCCCTTTTATTTATCCCGCTTAGATGGTTAGATTAGGCATGTTTAAATTAGCATACAGTATGAAGCAATGTTTGCATCATTTCATCTGATTTTGCATGCACCGGGCTCGGCCGCATCATACTAACTGCATGTATTTCAATTCCAAGTTGAATACTGTATAGTGTAACATTTCATATGCCATCTTTAGAATAGCCGAGCCTGCTATATTTGCATTTTGCATGTGTTGCATTAGGCATTTTTGTATCTTAGGATCATGCATGATTTCTAAGTAGTTTCATTTGACTTGGAGTACTGGTAAGCTTTAGCTTTAGCATCCTTGCATGCGTGTGAGTGTGCCATGAATAGTATCTTACCATGAGGCTAATTGCTTATATGATATATCTGTCTGAATGCCTGTGGGTGAGGTTGGGTTTCTGAATTGGAACAAATAATCAACTGTTTGTTTTAGCCCAACTAGAATAGTGGCAAAACCATCTGTTTCTAAGCCACCCGAGGGTGGAAAAATCTGCAATTTTAAGCCTACTTGCGAGTAGCAAACCCATCTTTCAAATAAACAAACATGAAATGTTTTGTTCCAATTCATGCAATCAGTCTATACTTATATTGCTGTGTTGCATCATATAGTAACCTAGGCTATAATCTCTCTCACAACA